GTTCTCCTAGACTTACAACACTGATTTCCCCCAGAAGTGCTTTCTGTGTTCTTACAGTTGAGAAATCACTGAAGAGCCTATAGGGTGTGCCTGGTACTTTGTAGACTGCAGTGCATACTTCACTGATAAGTGAACGCATGAGTAATCAGTACCTTTATGCAACATGCAATTTATTTCCTTCCTTTTATTTATAACAGCCCTGAGCTGGAGGATTGGGTGGTAGCAGATTCTTCTTCCTACTCTGAATAATAAGAGGCAAATCATTTTACCTCTTTGGCTCTCCAGGGCACCCTGGGGAGCTGGGAGACAACTAGGCGTAGGAGGTGATGTTTGATAAAGACCGTGGCATGTCAAGGTGTGGGTGGTGATGACTGCCGCGAGCTGGTGTTAGATGCCAGCCCTGAGCCTGTGGTCATCACTCCAGTTGGGGACAGCCAGCCTTATGCCGATGCTGTGGTTCTGCAGATGCTGCTGACAGTGTTTTGAAGGATTGCTTTGGCCAGAGACTCAGTCCCCAAGTGTGCCTTCTCTATGACTCATTCTAGCTGCATATATTGGAAGCAGGAGGGCTGGAGAGGAGAGGAGAAAGAAGCACTTCTGAAGAGTGGGAGTGCCTCCCTACTGGGTCTGTACTTGAAAAGTGCTGGGGATATTTACATGACATTAGCCATTGTAAAGAGAACACGTTAGTGGCATTTAGTATATGCACATATTATACAAGCCCTGGCTCTGTTCAGTTCCAAAATATTTTCATCACTCTCAAAGAAAACCCCTTTCCGTTACTCCCTTCTCTTGCCTTCCCCTGGCAGCCACTAATCTACTTTCTGTCTCTGTGGATTCACCTCTCCTGGATAATTTATATAAATGGAATCATGCAGTACATGACCTTTAGTGTTTGGCTTCTTCCACTCAGCATATAGTTTGCGAGATTCATCCACACTGAAGCGTGTAGCAGTACAACACAGTCTTAGCAGCCGCACCAGGTCCCCAAAGACAGATCCTTTCCCATCCTACTCCAGAAGAGTGAGTCACTCTCACCCCTCTACTTTAGTCATAGGGCCAACTTGAAAGCAAGGGTATGGACTAGATTTGAGAATGCCCAAGTAATGCCCAAGCAAGCACAGCATTCAGAGGATTGCTGAGTCAATAGGGTTGGGTGGGGTCTTCCTGGATGGCAGAGGCTTCTGATCCTAGACCAGTGACCTCAGGTATTATCTTAACAACCTGCCTATGAACCTAGGGGAGGTCTGAAGCACCTCCTGATGCAGGTGCTGATCAGGGATGTATTGGCCTCCTAGGGCGAGATGCTGGACCCCTCCCTGCTGCTTTACAGCTCCAATGAATTGTGTGTTATTTATCAAGCTCCATCTTGTAAGCCAGAGAGGGGAGAGGGAAGGTTGTTCATGCCCTGATTGTAACCAACTTAAGAGCAAGGTTAGGTTCCTAGAAAAGCCACACGCTCACCTCCTCCCATCCCATCC